GTGTTATCTCAGCCATATTAATTTTTCTTCTAAGACTTAGTTTCCTCAACTGTAAAATATACATCATTGAGTTGTTTTAAAGATCAAGTAAGGTAAATAACATGAAACCTTCTCACTATATATAGTCCATTGTATATTCTCAATGAAGGTCAATTTCCTTTTCCTTCCTTCCCTAAATAACAACAAAAATAGTCTGTATGGGGAAAAGCATTCGTAGCACTGAATGTCAACCCTTCTTGGTTAATGGCTGAATAAAGATAATGTGTTAATTTTTCAAAATGCCTCAATTTTCCTATATGTAGCTTTTATCTCACCCTTCACTAAATTATGGTGCTTGCAAAGCTCCTTGAACTTTACCAGTACAAAGCATACTGTTAGGAGGATGGAATTAACATTATCCCTGGTCTATAAAGTATCATACCTGCATTTGTAGTGAAAGGGACATATTCTTGCCTGAGTCCTGCAGCAGTGTTTTGCCACCTGTAACAGTGCTGAATAAAAGTGGTCCCATCTATCATTTCTGTAGCTCTTCCTCACAGAAGCAGTCTTGATAAGGATAAAAATCCAGGACATCATAGTATCAACAATACTTTCCTCTTCAAAGCTGTCTTTCAGACAAGGCTCTGACTGTGCCTTACAAACACTAATTATATAAATCTTATATACTATTGCTTTGTGGGAGGTGAAGTATTTAGTAAAAATGATCATCTGAATAGAGATTGTCTGTGTGGGGGCAGGATGGAAATATGAAAAGTGGGAAGTGGGTGCTCAGCATACAGTCATCGCTGTTACAAGGTCAGCTGTGTGCTTGGCTAGGACTGTATACACTTCTGCTAGGTTTTCAACTAGTGTATAAAATACAGGCTATTCTTTGTTAGAAATCTGTGAGTGGTGTGAGCTCCTTGAATACTAAAGATGTTAATTCTTATGGTTAATTCTGCATACTGCATACGCAGTGGCACTCTGAGGTCATATGATGAAGAAGCAACTTCAGGTTGAGGTCAAACTGAGTTAGGATGGCTCAGTCTGACTCTGTAGGGAATTAAATGGTAAATAAGAAATCTGGGGGACCCTCATCAGAGTGTCTTACTGGTAGAGAATGATTTAGTGGAGAAATGAGCTTTAAAGTTAATAGCAATAGTGTATAGGATTTATATGATTTATATGTCTATGTTAGTGTCTACACTTTTTATTTTGTTTTTGTTTTATTTTATGATCTTTGTTCCTAATTGGAGGGCCCTTGCATCACCGTGATTCACAATAATAGTCATGAATATTTTTTTTTGAAAAAAAGGCATTTTTTTTCTAAAACCCAAGAGAAATTACATACTTATTATTTATTTAAATGTTTAACAATGCTTTTTAGGCAACAGAAACGATATCTATTTATGTCACAATGATACTGAGTAGACTAATAAAAATGTCAATTCATTCTCAAAGTTTCAGTGCTTCAGCTATCTTCAAAGTTTCATTTTTTACCTTTTAGGATTTCTTAAAATTTGTCATTTTTTTACCTCTTAGGATTTCTTATGATTTATGTGTCTCTGATTAATTTTTAAGATGGAAAACCAAACTAAAGTTTTGTTGTTTGCTGGATAGGTCATTTTTTTGCAATGTAGAATTAGTGTAGAAAAATAATAAAGTGGCCTTGGTATCCAGAATCTAGCACAGCACCTGATACTCATAAGTGCTCCATTAATATTTGCTAAAAGAATCTGATATATTGCCATAAACTGTTTTCCTTGGTTGAAATCTTTGCTAACTTGATTCTTTGTTTCTGATAAACTCATTGTTTCTACATTTAAAAAAATGTAGTTTAAAATAGAAGGATTATTCTCTCTGACAAAAATCTTATACTTGCCCATAGTTCTACTTGTCCAGAAAACAGAGGAGCTACTGTGATACTTAATAGGAACTACCTGGAGTGAACGTTATTTATCTTCCCAGTACCTACTCCTACTTGCTCTCCTAAATTGCAATACTCAAATTTTCCTTTGAAGAGCCACGCCTCATCCCTGTGTAGTAGCCATTAGCTGAGGCGAGGTTGAGCAGACTCCCATCCAGGGGTCGACACTGAATTGGGATAGACCAACCAATCAGAATGTTCCTATCTGCTTGTATAGGCTTATGTATGTATATACATAGTCCCCAGGCAACTGGGATTGATGCTTGGGAAGTTCAATCAGGGAGCATATTGAGATGTGAGTGAGAACGTGTGAAACCCTCCTTCCTGGAAGACTTGTTTCGGAATCCTGAAGGAAGTCTGAAGGTGACATTATGGAGAAGGGCAAAACCAAGGAAACTGTAGAAAAAAAGAGCCATGTCCCTGACTGAGCTATACATGAAGCCAGTCCTAGCATTGAGTTTACTGTTTTAAGAGCCATCATGTCGCTTTTGTTTCTTAAACCAGTTTGTGCATGATTGCCTGTTCTTTGAAAGGGGAGGAAAACTTTAATGGACATATAGCCTTATCCTAATCATATTCTTTTACTGGGAAAAAAATTTAATTATTAGATTCTCTGCAAAATATTTGATTAAGTTTTTTGCATAAAGTTTTTTTTAATGTTTATTTTTGAGAGAGAGAAAGAGACACAACACAAGTGGGGGAGGAGCAGAGAAGAGAGGGAGACACAGAATCCCAAGCAGGCTCCAGGATCTGAGGTGTCAGCCCAGAGCCCAACACTGAGCTTGAACTCAGAAACCATGAGATCAGGACCTGAGCCGAAGTTGGACTCTTAACCAACTGGGCCACCCAGGCACCCCAAGTTTTTTACTTTTAGAGAGAGGCACAATTAATTTCAAAAGCACAAAAGTTTTCCTCTGACTAGAATACAAAGATACACTTATGTATTTTAGATAACAAAGCCACTAAAAGATATTTTTGCATGGCACCATCAATTCATCTATCTTTATACACCCCTGATACCTATCAGTATACCTTTTAGGTACTGTTCATTAGAAAAACCCTATTTTGAAGGAAGTTAGAAAAAAATAGTCATGTTAACAAAAAATTCATTTAGGTAACCTTTGCAGAGTTGGTGTTTTTTCATGCCAGCAAGTCCTTTGCTTTATATTCTGCCTTGGTTTCTGTCATTGTGCATTTCAAAACCTCCCAAAGTCAGACTTTCCATGAAGAGTCATCCAAAACAGAGTATATTTGGAATTCCGCTTCTCATGACCTAGTTGTATCACTAGAGGGATCAAAGAGGTTTTGTTCTGTTTCTATAATCAGCTATTTCTTTGAGAGGGCAGATTCATAAGAGTTTGAATTATGCTTAGAAATGCATACAAGGCAAGCAGCTACATGGCATTTTAATTACCTCCCTCCACTCCAATGAAAAACAACACCAGGCACAAACAGATGTCTCAGGTTAAACTCAGTTGATTCTCTTAACATAGCAAATAATTAGACTGTTTCCTTTCTCCCTAGGCTTTTTCTTTTCCTTTTTCTTATTTTAATCTGTTTGCTCTCCTAGCTCTTCCATTTAATTTCCGAGGCATTCACCTTTTGCTAATGTTAACAAAATTCCTACTGGACAAATTCTTCTCCTTACTAGACCCTACATGACATAGTATTAATATTCACAAAGGAAGCAGATGGCTGCCTTTGGGGTCCACCAATTACAGTAGTACCTTGCTTAGTCTGAAATGACTAATTAAAATCCTCAATTAACTAGAATGGGAAATTCAGTATATACAACCCCTATGGTGACCTCATGATATAGTGAGTTCGCAAATGAGTGTTTAGAATTCTTTCCCTGCCCTTTGGGGGGATAAAAACAAAAGGTAAGGAAACGGAGTCATCTAAAGGATTTTTGAAAACTCTAAAAAAAACTCAAACCCTGAAACTATGGAGTTTTCTCTGGCATCAGTGTACATTTACCCTAAGTTCCCATATTTTTCCACATATACATCTATAATTTGTTTTTTTTAAATCATCATTGAAATTTAGATTAGTCAATATTTTGAGATGTTTCATTTTATATTTAATTTGATAAGCATTTACTGCACCTCCAAAGTACTCAAAATATTATGTTGTTAAGGCAAAAAAGAAAAAAAAAAAAGTTTTCTAGTTACCCTTGCTGCCAAAGGAGTCACCCAAAACTGATGGTTGAAAATAACAGCAGTCATTTTATCATGACCACAGATTCTGTGACACAGGAATTCAGGAAGGCCTCAGATGGGCAGTTATGGCATTGGATATCTCATGTGGTTGCACTAAGGTAGTGGTTAGAGCTGGAAGAGCAGGTGGCTGGAGCAGCTGAGGACTTATTTATCTTCCTTCAAGTATCTTCAGGGTCTATCCATGGGTCTCTCTGAGCTGGTTTGGGCTTCCTTGCAGCATGATGACTTCAGAGCAAATGTTCTGGCCAACAAGGTAGAAGCTAATCCCCTTTTGTGACCCAGCACTTCAAGTCACACAGTGTCATTGCTGCTGCATTCTGTTAATTACACATGAATTGCTAGCCCCTCCAAATTCTGAGGAAAGGGAGTTAGACTTTGTATCTTATTGAGGGAGTGGTAAGTTTCGAGAAAAGCATGTGGGACTGAGAAGTGGTCATCTTTGGAAGATACAGTTTGCCATGATGAGTCAGATATAACTTCTCCAAAGAAGCTCATAGTCTAGTGGATATAACCACGATTCTCAAACTGTGCATTGAGGTCCCCTAGGTGTCTGTGAGGAATTCACAGTGTATTCACCGGATACTTTACATTTTTGCGGGAAACAATATGACATCAGTCAGACACCATGTGAATTATTACTAGTAAGTTGTTTGGACCTAATTACTTAATAAGTGGAACTGTTAGGCGTTTCTTTTGTCCTAGTTATGCCCTGAAAATAATTTATAGAGACAGAGAAAGTTTAGGAATCACTGGGATAAAAAACAAGATACAGATACTCAACTATGGTCTTAGCAGGTCCACAACTGACATTTGTAAGGTCCAGGACATGAATACAAATGGGGTTACTAGCTTGCTCCTTTCTTTTCCCATTACAGCTCCTGTGGACACGCCAGCTTTATACCTGAGCTCTGTGCATTCTCTTCCCCCACTGCAATAGCAGTTTCTCCTTGGCCCTTGGAGTGAGCACCCCAGAGGTAAGTCAGTCCTTTGGGGGGAAGGACCAGTGGGGGAAGCCCACACAGAAGCAGACTGTGTGGATTTAAGCTAGGAATTTTGGAGTCCCAGGTACCCCAAATGTGATATAGAAAGGAGATCAGGGTTCTGGATTAGCCCATTTGGAGGGGAGTAGCTGGAGGGCCTTCTAAAATACAGGGGCTTAGGCAAGGCCTGGTCTAAGGGAGGTAATGAGACCCAGCACAGAACACAGCATATAATTGGTCCTCAAATTATATTTCATGAATAAATTAATCCAGAGCAGATTCTGATATGTATGATGACAGAGATTAAATACCGACTGCAATGGAAATTGAAACAAAGAACAATTCATTCTTGGAAAGGCTTATGTTACCTTCAGAGATGAAGGAGAGAAGAAGTAGAAGTGTGATGGGAAGTCAGCAAAACGCAGGGATTAATGAAGCTGCTAGAGGCAAGCATCAGAAGAAAATCTAAAACTACACTCACCATTAGTGGTGAATCTGAGTTTCAGGGCTTCCTGAAGCATACATAATTTGAGGGGCTCTCTTCCAAAAAAAGAATATGAAATTAGGTATGAAAAGATCACACAAATTATACATTTATAGAACCTCACAGAGTTACAAATACCAAATAAAATGCCCAGAAAGAATTGGGGCACCTGGCTGGCTCGGTCAGAAGAGCATCTGACTCTTGATCAAAGTGAATTTGAGCCTCACACTGGGTGTAGAGATTACTTAAATAAATAAAACTAAAAAAAAGTCCAGGAAGAACGATTTTATTTTTTTAATGTGTATTTATTTTTGAGAGAGAGAGAAAGAGAGAGACAGAGCACGAGTCAGGGAGGGGCAGAAAGAGAAAGAGACAGAATCAGAAGCAGGCTCCTGGCTCAAAGCAGACACAGGGCTTGAACTGACAAGCTGTGAGATCATGACCTGAGCTGTAGTCAGATGCTTAACCCACTGAGCCACTCAGGCACCCCATAGAAAGAGCAATTTTCTGGATGCTTTCTTACTAAATACCAGTTTTATGTTCTGTAGGGAGAACAGAAAGATAATTTGTTCTAGTGTTGACTGAATATTTAAAAAATATTTATTGTTTACAAAATGTTAGCACCATCATTATTAGTAATGACATGTAAACTGCTGTCATCTGTTGTCAATTGTGAATACCTCTTGTCATGCTGTTGAACTGTTACAGACCTGCTCTATTTTAAGTATAGTTACAGCTTTCTTCCCTTCAAACCTAGCAATTCTGAAATATTTTGTTTCACACAACTACCATAAACTATGAAAAATATGGAGCTTTTATAATTGTATATATAGCGCATTCTCAAATATAGTCCTGAGAGGAGAAGGCATCTGTTTTGATTAGATCTTGATGGGAACCAAACCCTCTGTTAAAATTTTATGTTCTTGATGTTGGAAGAATTTTCTACAGATTAGCTTCTGGCTCCATAACTTCAGCCTCCACCACACCTACTTTCAGAGCCGAGCTATGTAAGAATCAGCCTCTGGCCCTGTACCTTTGTGTCAGAAGACCAGGAGAGTTGACACAGTGGGCAGTGAGGGTATTCATAGAATCTATCCCTACATTGGGACAGCTGGCAAAAGCTTTCATGGAAGTAGCTGTGAACCATATAAGTGACAATATGCTGAAGTTGTGTGTATCCCCAACTTAATCAACTGCTCCTTAACTCATATCCTCAAAAGCTACAAGGCTCCCCAGTGCCACCTCGTATGAAGGGAGCCTGGAGAGGAAAGAGACAGGGGCCGTAACCAATCCTGTTAAAAAAAAAAAATTACTTTTCACATTTTACAAAAACCATGTGCCCGTGTGAACTCAATGCTACGGCCCTCCTAGGACCTTAGAAAGGGCCCATGCAAAGCAGGCACTTGAAGCTTAAACCTCATTCATGTAAATCCACCTTTCCCCACCATCCTCTATATTTCACGGAAGGAGACAAGTACTGCAAACTGAGAAAACATGGTCTATAATAGAAGTAACACTGGACTGGAGTCCAGAGAACTGGAGCTTTGTTTGGTTCCAGCTCTCTCAGCTCTATTCCTTTGGGCCACCCTTTGGGACTTACTCTTGTTATCTGTTAAGTATTGGCCCTTCCTCATCTGCAAAAGGAAAGGAGAAATCAGCAGTCCAGTGTGGGACTCTTTGTGGTTCTACCTGGGAAGTAAATTATATTAAATGATGCAAATTATGTACATTTCAGTCCATATTATTTCTGTCAGTTACTATTGCCATTTCTGCAACTTGAAATAATGTGAGAATTATAACCAGCATGCAAGAACTTAAAAATATTTTAGCTCTGACATAGGGAGGTAGATGTACTGCAAAACACTCACGAGAAGCAAGAACAAATTGTCATTCTGAACACCATCACTAAAAGTACACAGAAGCACTTTTCCTCCAGTTTTAAAAAAGCTTATCTTTCAAAAAAGTGCAAAAGTCACATAAGCTTCCATTAAAAACACTTCCAATGCAGACATGTATACAGTGAAAAATACAAGTCTCATCTCCAAATTTCACTTCCAAGAGGAATTACTGCTAACAATTTAGACCTGTGTGTAGCCTTCCACAACTAGTCTATGCACACACAATGGCAGATGGCATTTTGAAATATTAACTGAGGGGTTTTCTTTCCACTTTATTTCCTGGTGGTCCTGGCCTTTCACCCATTCTGTCAGCTGGCACGCATTCTGTGTTTGACACCTCAGGGAAAAGATGACCCAACAAAATACATTAAAAAAAGGAAGTCAACAACTTTTGAGTCTCTATTTTTTTAGTTTCTAGCCCTTAAGGGAATAGAAAGACACAGGGAATAAAAAGAGATTTGGAAAAATATATGATAAGTCGGAAGAAGCCTTAAGGCTTCCAAGACTAGATAAAAGAATTTCAATTCTTGGGAGAAGAGAGAGATTCAGAGAGGAAGAAAGGACCTCTGGCAACGTATGCTGCTTCTCTCCGAAAAATTAGAAAAAGGCCACATTTTGGTGAATGAATTACAATAAGGTGCCTTGTTGAGCAGATCCTTCCTGGGGGCAGTGGCTTAGACAGCTGACAACACCTTTGTACAAAGACAAGAGCCCCTCCTTCTTCCAACAGCCTTGGCCCCATGCCAAGGGTTTTGTCTTTCTAGATTTCAGCCCTATTCACACCCAAGCATCTTTGTCCAGTGTTCAAACTACATAACTGTATGAGACAGCCTTCCTTGTGGGTTCCTGAGAAAGAAGGTCATCTGTCCTGCCTCTCCAGCTCAGGTGAACTTGGCAGTGAAGAGACAGGACATAAGCATGCTTATGCAGGTATAGAGGTTGTTCCTGCTTTCTAGGTACACTCTCAGCCAGGGATGGTGGCCAGGCCCCAGGAGCAAAAGAGATGTCAGTGGGGTGTCTAGACCCCTTGGATTTTTTTAATGGTAATGCAATATTTTATTTATTCTGTCCATTAATAACTAATATTAGAGAACACTTATAATATTAATGGAACTTAATCTAAGAGGAGTTCATCTTACATTTTTTTACATTTCAGTATCAGGTGATCATAAGCAGATAGTCAAAATAATTATGGCCCAAAGTATTATACCAAAAACTTTTAATAAATGCTTGCTGTTGGTGTATGTACAATTCAGATTTTGGTGTAAAGTTCTTTGGCTGCAAGGAAGAACATTTGGTTTACTTCCCTAATAGGAATGTCTCTTGATGTGGGGATGGTCTCTTAGTATTTCTTTTGCTATTGATTTTCAGCATAGTTACCTGTGATTGTAGGAATGGAGTTGAGTGTGGAGAGATACTCATCATGTTTACTCCAAATAAGAGTACATAACCGATTACTATAGTAATGAGGAGGCAGACAGGCAGTGTAACTGCCCAATATTTTTGAGGGCAATAAGTTAAGCCTAAGGAGTTTAGCAAAGATTCAGCAATGAAAGCCCATGCAAGATAGAGTATGAAGCCACATTGGGAGCTTAGGGAAAGAACAAAGGCGTAAATCACTCTTTCTGGCAAAGGTAACAGTGAATTTTCCAGCATTTCCCTGTGGCTTTAGATAATCTCCAACACACACATACAAGCAGTGCTGGAGGACCCACTGGACTTTACACAGTCTCTCAGAATTTCCTAAAGCCTAGCATGAATGGAATGACTCTTGGGAAGGGTATGGAAGTAGCTGGGAGAGCCAGACTTGGGAAGGGGAAGACACAGAAATGATTGGCATGATCCTAAGATGGGTGGCCAGACAGGGTAGGGGTGGATCCTAGCATCCCAAGTACTGATAGAGGGCAAATCCAGTGATGAGATGTCTTTTCACTCACAGCTTGGCCCAAATAAGCCTTCCTGGAACTCAAATGCAGTATCAGAAATTAATTTTCTATTACTACATAAAAGTAAGGTTAAAACAGAAAATAAGTTCATTATTTTTTTAAGAATTACATTTCTTGGGGTGCTTGGGTGGCTCAGTTGGTTAAGTATCCAACTTCAGCTCAGGTGATGATCTTGTGGTTGGTGAGTTTGAGCCCCGCGTGAGGCTCTGCACTGATGGCTCAGAGCCTGGAGCCTGCTACAGATTCTGTGTCTCCCTCTCTCTCTGCCCCTTCCCTGCTTGTGCTCTCTCTCTCTCTCCCTCTAAACTATAAACTTTTAAAGTTACATTTCTTGCCTATCTAAGTTTGTAAATCGAGATTCATACTTTGTTAGCATTGCAATGGTAATAAAATTATATGTATACTTGACAATATATCTGGAACAGACTTATATATGAGCACATATAGATCTACCTCAGTAAAAAATCCTTTCATAATATGGCTCACGTAACATTTATCTAACCATTCGCTGGATGTTTAAGTCGTATCTGATTTTCACTCTTATGTTGCAGCAACAAGTGTCCTTTAAACCAACTACTGTTAGCACAGCCTCTTTGAACAATCTTTCTGTGTACTTAGATGGCAGGTATTGAGAGTATTACATTCCAGTTGGAAACACACGCTCATCCACACAATCAATATGAGAAATTGTGTGCTAAAATTCATGTTCTGTTGGATTTTTTTTTTAGCACCAATATCTTTTTTATCAAGTGAAATATTTTTCGGCAAGTCTATATTTTAAAGATATGAGGTAGAGGCACTCTGGATGTGTAGAGACAGAAGGCTAGGGGATCTGATGCTCTGGTCAACTCTATCCCTGTCCCAGTGCCCCACCTTTTCCATGCCCCTGCCACTGCATCAGTTCCAATGCATAGGGATGGTACTATGGCCCTTTTCGCACTCACTGGTCAGGAATACCACAGACAAGATTTAGGATGTTGGTCTGGCAAAGGCGGTTAGATGTCACCGGTGTCTTTTATGGCTTTTTGACTTTTGCTTTTGTGATTTAATATCAACTATTTTGAGGTTAGTTGTGCTGTCCTTTGTGTCCATGATACATAGTGTATAATTCAGTTACAGCACTTGTCACATTGTTCTTTCCTGAAAGTACTATTCAGAGAGAGAGAGAGAGAGAGAGAGAGAGAGAGAGAGAGATAAATGTTTCCTTTAGAATCTATAGAAATAGATTTCCTTTAGAAATAGCTCCTTTAGAATCTATGCAATGTACCATAAAACTTGGCAAGTACTAGCTTTTCCATAAGGCCTTCTGAATGAAGGAATGAATGAATGAGCCACACACATTTGCACAACTTAAGTATAAGACACACAAACTCTTCTTCAAGTGTATAGATACTTAAAAAAAATACAAATGTATCTATTTTAGTCTCCCCTAGTCTTCTTTGGACCTACTCTATAGGTGTCTGAGTATTCTTGCTTTAGAACAGATTTATAGAAGAGGATTGGAATTGGT